AAAGGCAGTGTGCATCTCCCATGCACATACTTGGCTTTTGAAAGATTACTCTGTGCACTCTCAAAGCAATCGGCTATTCCTTTCTACTCCCTTTCTCTCCTGTGTGTGAAGAGATTCTTAGTGTTCTTCATTTCCTTTCAAGAACTCTYTGTGTTGTTCTTGAAAGTTCTTCTCHTTGTAAGATTGTTTAGGTTAGGTTTTCCTTTCCTATCTTCCGCAACAATCTTTTGTATTTCTGTGTGTATTAATTCTTGATATAAATCAATAAGAATTAAAAAGTTGAAAAAAGTCTGTGTAATTGTATTCAACCCCCCTTCTACAATTACTTTATGTTTATTGTCTTACCCTTCAGGACTAACACGTCTCTCTCCCTTAATCAAGTTACTCCTCTTGAAATAACACTTTTCATTTATATCTTCATATCTTTGTATCATGTCTTTGATAATGTTTCTCCCCCTCATGATAATTAGGAGAATCCTGAACATCATGAACTATCAAAAATTGAAATTTTATCCTTTACAAACTTCTTCAAATATACTCCCCTTGAAAAAAATAGATATTTTTCATCATATTATCACACTCCCCCTTGAATCTTGGGTAAAATTCTAACATAGAAGCATATTTTGGAACTATTATCACATCAACTAAATTAATTGTGTGGCATATGTTCAGAGTTGATAATAAGAAATCTCTTATAGGACTTATATCACTGAAGTAAAGTTTCAGAACTAACTTCTCAAACTGTTCTGGAAATATCATAAAGATATGCAACTTGAATCACAAAGACTCATGAAAGTATCAAAGAAAATATTATTCAAATATATTTGGCTCAATAAACTCAATGTGCATATAATAAAATTCGAAGATTGGAGGTGTGTCTTCTTGTTTCAATATCTAAATCTTCCGAATAAAGAATAGATATATTATATGATAATTCTCCATGATATATGAAACAGACACCTTTTGTGAGATACTTGAGTAACTAGGTGGGGTGACATGAGTAGTCGACATAGGGTCCATGTCTATTTCAATATTCATCTCCAAAGAATGAGAATGAATAGATTATATCGCTACCCGCTTAACTGTTTCGATTTAGAAAGGACTATATTTATTTCTTTTAAGTCCTGTCACACACTCACCATTTTCTTGTAGCTCACAAACACTCATTCTCTCTACATTTTACCTCAAACACTCTCTTTCAAAATACATCTAACCTAGGGATGTCATGGGTAGGTCCTTCCGGCTCTGGATTGACCATTGAAACTTCTAAATTCTTAGTACTCAGAAAATTATTGCACATTCAGAGATATATATGTTAAATCTCATAAAAAGTAAAGAATGAGTCTTGAATTGATGTATTTAGAAGTCATATATGAAGAACAGGTTCTGAACTGAGTTGTTCAGAAGCTAAAACATTGAAGATATTTGTTTAGAATTATCAAGAAACAAATTGAAACGCTAAACAGAATGACTCATTACGCACAATGTTTATCAACAAATATTCAAAAATTAGAATGTTAAGTTGTGATGAACAAATCACAATTACTATTTCAGATAATAATTGAAACATTGATATGAAATAACGCATAATGAAAACAATTAGAATTTCGAACGAGTGTATTTCCACCGAAAAATATCAATGAATATATGAGACATGGAAATAAATAATTTTAAGAACAATTGAATCAGGTACTGGAATTATGCATGATGAGAAAATACACAAATATTAACTCGATGAAATACCTGTTCAAAGATACTACTCATTTCAGACAAAAAAATATATTTAAATCCTCATTTCTTAAAATCATAAAAACATTTGAGATCAAAGAAGTGGTTTGAACATTTGTAAAACATTTTAATATACTTAGAAGTTGTCCTTCTTCTAAGCATATTAAGGTTTAAGATCAAAAAATATATGCATTTGTTTCAGTAATGCAAAGAACTTTGCTTAAAAAAATCGCTCAACTTTTAAACTCAACTTATATTGGCCGATGAAGGTGGTTCATCGCTCAATGTTGTGGCCGATGAGCGGTTCATCGCCAACCATTGTGGCAGATGAGGCGTTTCATTGCTCACCACAAGTCTCTCATCGCTCAGTTATGGTAACTCACTGCTCAAAGTTTTATCGCTCATCACTCAACCCCTAAGTCAACACTTATTGTTCATCGCTCAAAGCTTTATCAATATAAGGATTTTATCGCTCACAACTATGTCCGGATAGTACTCTCATCGCACAACGTTATGTTCGGATTATGCTCTCATCACACAATACTATGTCCGGATTATGCTCTCATCGCACAGAACTATGTCTGGATTATGCTTTCATCGCACAACCTTTGTCCAAATATACTTTCTTCTCTCAGGCCTTATCTTCATCTTTCAAACTCTTTATTTATTCAAATAATCCTGTAAGAAACCAGTTAAGTATCCATTAATCATACAGATAAGTATGAAAAATACTTACTCTTCTTTTCAAAAATGATTAGATAAATTTTAAAATCACTACTCCCCATGGAATTTGTATCTTCATCAAAATCAGTATATCAGATAAAACGTTATACTCCCTTTATTTAGATAAGCTCAGGTTCTAAACTGATTTATTCAGAAACTATATTGAAGACCAGATCCTGAACTGATATGTTCATAAACTACTTTAAAGCACACATATCTATATACTCCCCCTCAAACCAAGCATCAATTTATCATGTGTTTAATCTTCTAAATTCAGCTCAGCATATGACAAACCTGCAAAAACAGATTACACAGATTTTGGTATCCATACTTTCATGGATCCTAATTTGTTGGCATTGGTTTGGGGTATACTATAAGTACCATACCATCTTTTCAAATCAGAAGTTTTCACCGTAAAACTATTCTCAGAAAAATCAGATATGCAGTAAGTACCATACCAGTTATTATCATACCAATTATTCCTCTAATTCATAAACTTGTTAGTTCCACACCTTGAACAACAGATATTGGTCTTGCTAAGACTGATCAAATGATTAGCAGATTTGACAATACAAGGTAAAACATTCCTTGAAGCAAAAGATTTTGTATCACCTATAGATTTGTTTTCAACAAAGTTGTTTGTAGTTGATTTCTTCTTCCAAAACATTTGCTTCTTTTTATAATGACTATCTGATTCAATCACATAATCATTGTACAAGAAATATGAGATTTATACTTTGAAGCGCCAATTTTAGAAAATCTGCTTGAGTAACTGTTAGATTTAACAGAAGAACTATTACTCTTGCAATTTTTAACTGAAAATGGAGACTCAATTGAACTTGAAATATCCTTTTCAGAAAACTCTTTGAGTTTATTTAATAACTTATCTCTTTCTTTAGTTATTAAGGCATATTTCTTTTCAAAATTAGATCTCATATTCTTTTCAGTAACAAGATCAGCTTTCAAATCAGATTATTTCTTTGTAATCTCATAAATTTGAATTTCAAAATCTTTTCTTTATTTTTCAAAACTTTTTCTCTCCTTTTCAATATCTCCTTTCTCATTATTAGATGCAACATCTAACCATTTCTTCTTTTCAGCTACTCCTTAGCTATAGTAGCATTCTTCTTTGCAGTATTCTTTATTTCTATTGCAAATGATTTTCTCTCATCATCCAGACTCTTCTGAATAGCAACAATACTCTTTGAAAATTCCAAACATTTCTTATCAGATTTTTTTCCTTTTAGTTTCAATTTAGATCTTTCCACAATAACAATCTTCTCAAAATCAATGATTTGCTCAGAAAGCTTCACAGAACTCATCTCAAAAGATTTCAACTTGCTTTCAAAAATCCTTTTCTCAACATTAAACCTCTGTTTTGCATCAGAAAATTTATTCTTATCTTTCTCAAACTCTTTTCTTTCTGATTCTAATAACTTTTCCAGTTCAACTATCTTTTTCTTTTCTTTCTCAAAAACTCTTCTTTCGGAACTTAAGGCTTTCTCAGCTTCATAAACCTTTGTAGTTAACTCTGCATTATTCTTTAATAGTTCAACATTTCTATCTTGAATCTCATAATGACGATCTCTAGCAAGAAGTTCATCTATCTGAGCCTGTAGAAACTTCTTTTCTTCTCTTATTTGCTGATTCTTCTTTATTGTATCTTTTGCCCAACAAAGATTTGAATGATTCTCATAAAATATTTTTAAATATTTTTCTTGTTCCTTTTTAAATTTATTCTCCAAGATATAAACTTTTTCTCTTAGATCCTTATTCTCTCTTTCTAACACAAATGCCATCTCAGTGCAATTCAAAATGATTGACTAACACTTGATCTTTAAAAGCAGTTCAAAACTCAGAAAATCATATTAACTTTCTCACAAATTCTGCTTATCGCCCAAACTTGATTGTTCAGACTACTTATCACTCAACTTGAATATTACTCAACTTGCTTATCGCTCAACTCCTTATCGGACAACACTGCTTATCTTCAAGTCTCTTATCGCCCAATTCTTTATCGGCTAACTCCTTATCTTCCAACTCTTACTAATCGGACAACACTGCTTATCGCCCAATTCAACAAGCGATGAAGACAAGATATCGCTTAACACACTAAGTGGGGAATGCAGGATATCGGAGAACAAGAAATTCGAAGGAATTCAATGAAAAATTCAATGACCGATGAGGAGTCCTTATCGCTCAATGAATGTATTCAACGAGCGATGAAGGAGTAGTTTAACAGAATATGCAGAAATCGATCCAAATACACTCAAATTCAATCAAAATTGAATAAAACTTCCACATATTGATTTGTAATATGACTAAAAACTAGTCTTTAACTCCAATTTTTAACAAAAACATATTGAAATGATCGAATTCACCAAAATTTGTCAAGAACAAACAAGAACAGTTTCAAACTCAAAAATTACAACAATCCTAAATTGGAACTCAAATTCAATTCAATTGAGAAATTGAATGAATCCAACAAACTCATACAAGAATTTCGAGCAGATTTCAATCAATTTCAAATCAAGAAACACACAAAGATTTGAAATTAGATTCAAAACAGTAGCCTCTGTTCGTCCAAAAATAGCAAGCTTCCAAACTTGTTCTTCAATCCAAATTTAATCACAATCACAATTGATGTTCCCAGTTTTAATCAGTCAAAACATGAATTAACAAGAACAATCACAAGATCATCAATGGCAGAAATAGAAATGTAAAGAGAGAATTATCTTCAAAAGCTTAGATTGAACTTCAAAGGTTTACATCACTTCTATACACTCTTACCCTGCTCTCAAACAACAACAAAGCACCCTATGTATACACAAGGAATACACAAGAAACATAAAGCTTGGATACAACATTTAAGTACAATATATTGAACCCAACAAAACCTACCCCTATAATATATATATATATATATATATATTAGGGGGAAGATCAAATGTTAACCAATAACTTTATGTTAACTTTGAAAACTATGACAACCAATCAAATTCCATTCTTCTTGTAGGTTTATGTCATGCTCACATTTTAATTACAAGGGTATTTCAKTAAATTTATTTGATATGTAACTCTCAAACAATTAATGGGGAGTTACAAATCATCAAATCCCAAAAAATATACATTTATAATATTAATAATTTTTTTTAATCTTGATCTTCCATGTTTATTGTTTTATCAGTTTTTAATTTGCATAGAAAACACGGTAGTAAAAATTTTCGGTATCGATCAAGCTAATATAGATAAACGCAATGGAAAATAAACCGACAACAGTGAAAAGATTAAAATGGTTTATGATGACAATCGGAGTTCGATGTCGGGAATTGAAAAAATTAACCAAAGCGAATGTCTTGGTAATAGATATTTATTTTTTTAGATTCGTTTTAATTGAATTGAAGAAATTAACCAAAACGAATGTCTTGGTAATAGATTTTTATTTTTTTAGTTTCGTTTTAATCGAAATTATGTTCATTACGATGTGTTGTGTTTTTTATAACTCATCTTGTATTGATATCTTTTTTCTTTAATTATTAAAATACGTACCTAATTCACATGTTCAAATGAAAGTACATGCACGGCCCATTTTCATATTGTCATATTACCGACTTTTATGAATCATGAACCATTGTGTTCATGTTCYTTCTATCATATGAACACAAATGTTATTTTTTAAGCTTGATACCAAATCTTTATATTTGTGTAAGTGTTTGCACYMGGTGTTCATAGCGTTGGGSTTATGTGTTCATATATKTTATACGATATGAACAAGAGGTGAACACGATATGAACAAGGGGTGAACAATCATATAAGATCAGAAACATATATGAACAAGGAGTGAACCTTAAACAGTGTGGATGCAATGCATGTATAAAACTCCAATTGACAAAGGATCDCTYBTGAATGTGTTTATAATGAAGGAACTATTGTTCACAAGCTGTTCATATCGTGTTCATACATGTTTTTTTATTTATTTTCTTTCGTATAACAGTTATTCTTATTATGTTCATATTGTGTTTATAAATGTTATGCAGYCCAARTTCATATATATGTCAAATTTTTGTTCGTATTTGACACAATGGCTCATATATATATATATAGTTGTGTTCATATGGTTCTTATATTAACAAAAATAAATTAACAAAAAAATCATAGAATTTTGATTTTGTAACTCCCAATTAATTAATGATATGGGTGTTACATAAATTTTTTACCTAAATACCCTTTTCAACATTGTTCATTATCTTTATGCAATTTTAAATTTAAAAAAATAAGTTTTTATCATGATTAATCATAACCATTTATTGAAAGATTGAATGGCCAAGATCGGTTAACAAAGTTAACACAAAAACTTTGGTTAACATTTGATCTTACCCCATTATATATATATATATATATATATATATATATATATATATAGGGGAGCGTTCAAATAAAAACCACCTAATTTGTACAAACCA